AGAGAATGAAAGCCACGTTACCAGCTAAGAAAAACAACGAACAAAGACTTGCTCCTGACTACCGGTGTCAGAATTGGTAGATCGCACGATTAATGCACAGCATGGAAGAAGATGAAGGATCTTCAGGGCCAAGCTTGGAAGGGGAAAGACATGGGGAAAAGGAAGAAGAAACCATCGGTAGATCGCTGTATGATAATTAACTGTACATGGGTACGGTCCACTTTACCAGGCAGCTACTGTTCACTCCGTGCCTGGGCCGATTTCAACACTAAAACAAAAATTACATGATGAAAATATCGACTAATAGCACATCGTTTGCATGTATATGTCATCATTTTTTTAAATGGGAATTGATATTAATACTAAGAAATATTAGGGGAAGGTAAAGCATTGTACATAGAATTATGATTTATTAGACTTTTCAGCCTTTGAAACAAAAATAAGCAGAAAATCGTATCTCTCTGAACAGGCTTTCTATTGAACATCCGGGTAAGTGAATATACTCTTTCACGGACGTGATGTCCTATATAGTAGACCAGCGCCGTGACTGACTTTCTATACAAAGAGAGGCGGATATTTTCGACATTTCAATTAAGGATTTCGAGTAGCCAGATTTTTGTGTGGATATACTATGTAATTGAAAAACTTATAAATAACATATGCTTGCCGTAGGTACCAAATTAAGGGACATTTATTTGCTTAGAATATCAGCTTTAAGGAATAATGCTGAGTGTATCTCACTCTTCTCTATTCTTTTCTTTCCTTCTCTCCATTCTAGCGCATAGGAACATATTCATGATATGCGCTATACAAGTATATTATTATTATCATAATTATTTCCTGTAGATGTCTATTGTTCACTGTTGACGGTGTCATGTGGAAGTCCGAAACGTTTGTACGCTCTCCCAGCACCGCTACGATACATGACAGACGTCGAAGCTTTTAAGAGAGCACTATCAAAATGTGATTTGCATTAGGCGGTGTCTCAACATTGTGAAAAGCCAATTATCTAAAAAAACAGCTTTGTAGATAATTCGCTGTCTGTCATCAATTATCCCGCGAAAAATCTCGCAAAAATGTCGCGAAAAATCCTACAACCATTCGAGAAAATTCTCCCATATCGAGAAATTTCAAGGGATTTTTCGCGGGAAATTTCTGTCTGTCACCTGTCTGTCACCTACGTAAGTAAAATAGTGTCACGCAGTTTGGTTAAGATATTTGATGTAATATTATGTATGTATTTTATTCAATGCTTTAGTCTACTTTACAACTATCCATGATTATTGTACTAGTCTATGTTACGATTCCAATTGCTTTGCATACAGCGGAGTTCTATTCTCTCCTCACTTTGACCTTGCATTCACTTTCAGAACTTTCACTCTGTCCCTTCTCACTTTGACTTTGCCTGACTTTCAGAGCTCTCGTTCTTTCCCTTCGCTCTTGTTTGACCGAAACTCTCATTTTAACCTTGCACTGTCCTTCAGCCCTTTCAGCTTGCTTCTTGTCTTGACTTTCTCCTGTCCTTGTATCCTCTCTCTCAATATGACTTTGAGCTCTCTATTTATGTGCTCAATGACGCCCTTCTCCGCAGCGCGATACTTGTGACCTACATGACTGTTTTTTCTCCATCTCTCTCGAGGGGTATATAAGACAGACTGCATTCGTATCTTAGGCAGTTAGGAGCGAAGAATCTGTCTGTGAAGAGTAAAACTAGTGAGCTGTCGAGAGTTAATTGTGTCAGTTAGTGTGACAAGCCTGTCATCACAGGGTTTGAAGCGAAAGTACTCTACGAATGGGATAGAGAGCCAACCTGTTCAGAAATGGTCTCCAGTCATGTTAGTCTATCTTTTTAGCCTGTTCTAATGCCTGCTGCATTATTTTGCCTCTCTGATTCGCAAGACATTCTCTTTTATCCATCCTTGTAAATGTGTTTGGCTTTGGTGTAATAAACTCCTCAAATGTAATTTCTGCCTCTCGAGTGTTTATTCTCCCTGAATCTCGGCCATCACTAACAACTAAACTTCAACATATAACGGGGCTGATGTATCTTGGGACTTTTACTTCCCATTGTCGAACAATATAAGTCGCCGTTACAATATCTAGATAGCTGTTATCTACGTAATTCAAGATGGATCGGTAAAATTGTGTCTGACACCGCCTATTGATTCCTTTCGTTTGCCAAAAATGCTTACGCGTCATGTACTTTTAATCTGCTTCATTTTATGTCAACAAGTGGTTATTAAACGAGAAATATGCCATTGAACTTCTTTTTTGGGGGGTAAATTTGTAAATAATGCATAGAATACACTCAGATTTAAAACAATACTATTATTGTACTAGATGTACTACAGCAAAATCCCCTCTAGCGCCATCTCAGGTCAGCTGTAGCAGTATGGTCCCGTAAATCGCTGCTTCCTTAGCTACGATGTTGGTTCTCGTCTGCGAAGTGGGAATTAGGAATTGGGTTACGTAATGTTTGTAAGATGACAATGGAAAGGTGCCGTGCAATAAACAGTACGGCAGGGCAGTCTTGAAGGAAAATCGAACCTTAGAGCAAATTGGTCTGATATTGAAATCTGAAATGCACACAGATGTAGTTAATTCATATTTCAAACATTAATCCAGACGCGGATTCACGGGGGGGGGGGGCGTGACAGCTAAAGCAGCGGGGGCTAGGGTAGGGGGCAGTTTCCATAAATATAAAACGATTTAAAAAAAAGAATATTTTTTCAATAATTTATTGCATTTTACCCCGGTCCCGTTCCCATGCCTTGAGCCATAATGGATGGCCGCCCAGAGGATTTTTTTTATGTAGGGGACCGGGGTAAAATTCAATAAAATATTAAAAATTTATTGCATTCTCTGTTTTTTTATTTATTTATGGAAACTGCCCCCTCCCCTAGCCCCCGCTGCGTACAGTCATGGTTCAGTGACAAAGCAATGGCCTCGTAACTGTGAGGCCCCACGATCAAAACCGTGTCGATGTGCTATATTAGTGCCCTTTCGTGGGGCATTAATCCTCATTACTGTCATTTATGACTTAAGGGCGTAGGTCCCCTAGTTGATAAGCATAGTAGCATACACATGCTTTAGCAGTCACGCAAAACACACACTTTCAAATTATTATTGAATACAATCTGAGAATGTATACTTTTATCTAGATCTATAATTTTTAAATTATTTTTAAAATAATTCCATAAATTGGGGTAAACCACAAATATTCCAACTATATGAGCGACAGTGTAGTTCAATATTCATGGCTCTGTTTGAAGTTGAAATCATTTGATGTTATAAGTAATTCAACTTGACTTACATTCCGTTTATTCTACTCTGACTACAATTTATCCTGCTTAACCTTTTTTTACGACCATTCAATTTTAAATCAAATACTATACCCTAGTCACGCCGGCAAGGCCGACACCAAACTGACTACAGACCGAACAATACTATTACCTTACCCCCGATGGCAAAATAGTTGGTCGTTTTAGAGCCTTTGGATGTCGGTTTCGCAGGACGATCGACAGGGTGGAGTCGGTTTGGCAGTGTGACTTATGTCTTAGACTTCTAGATAAACCTAACCTAAAATTTCGCATCATCACATCATATTAATTCTAGATAATTGAATACGTTTCAATATGAGACTTATTGTTGCGTTATCGATGTGATATGGATGCAATAAGCAGTACGGTAGGGCAGAAAGTTTATCAGTTCCGTATCGCTTTAATTCCAGCCTTGAAGGAAAATCGAACTTGTATCATATTGTAATCTGAAATTCGCACAGATGTAGTTATTTCATATTTCAAACATTAATAATTTGTTTTACTATTGATCCGTTTCATTTGTTCATAACAGGCTTTACAGATCTATAAAATAATTATTCATGTATTTAGACAATGTGATATGCTTTTCTCCGTCTATTATGATTAATTGCAGTGCCAGTAACTAATAAAACGGGCGCCAAGACGTTCAGGAAATAAACTAAGGACCTTTCAAATTTCATATGCATTGCTTTTAGAAATCATGTTGTGCAATGTTTCCAATCTCAAGTGAAATATTAAACAAATGAAAAGCAAAAACCGTGAAGATACAATCCCGGGACGTAACGAAGGTAACCTTCTCTTCACACGTGTAAAACGTACGATGACTGTGTGTATATTCATACTACAGTCCACAAACAAGCTGCATCTAGGTTAAATTATGAGCATTTGCGGTGGAAGGGTCTTAACCCCATTGACTACTGAATGCATTCATACCATAGGCTTAATACAGTAGCCACCCGGTTCCCGTAGGCAATGGGCTAGCACAGGGAAGCATATGGCAGCTTTCTAGCAATCCTTGCAGATATTAACACTATAATTCACCGGGTAAACTAAGAAATGATCTCTTACATATTTGTTTTGATACGAGGAGAAAAACCTGTCAAAAATAATCATGTCTCTTAATATGCTATGATCAATACGGCTAAAGGCTAAATCAAATTCTGAATAACATTTTATATTCTTACGTAATCTTAAAGAAAATCGTCATAGAAGAAATGCTCCAGAAAAATATTTGATATTTCAGGGGAAATTTTAATTTCAATTTCAATTTCATATTTATTGCCCAATGAAAATTGGTTTTACTAACATTTTACATTTATCGCAAGTTACGAATTTATAAAAAATAAATACAGAAATCATAGCAAATGTAGATTACTGTAACTACTTTTTTTCGATCATTTGCCTGACAGGCTTTATAGACCTATATATTATTCATGGATTTAGACAATTTGGAATGCTTATCTCCGTATATTGTGACAAATTGCAGTGCCAGAAACTAATAAATCAGGAAATCAACTCAGGACCCTCCAAAATTTAATTTGCATTGCCTTAATAAATCATGGTCAAATTATGTAATACGTCATTGTAATGTTTGAACAGGTGTCTCATTAGAGAAAGTGATTGATTTTTCAAAAGTCTTCGCTATTGTGATTAATCTGATATCATTAAACCGATCAGGCATCTTTCAGACAACAACATTGGAGACATTGAGGTTGGAGTTTTTGATGGTCTGCAGAATTTAAACTATTTGTGAGTACAATTTCTTTTTGCTTTTCTACGTGTTTACCGAATGCAATTAAATGGTTCATCTGACCACGTGACCATGCAAGAGACCTGTATATCGATTTAATAAATAATTTTTGAAACAAAAGTTTCTCTTCAAAAAATAAAAGGGGCTTGCCAGAGGCCTTAGTTTATGATATTCACAAAGGACCATTAATGGTTCCATGACACATGCTCCGCCGACGATTTCTCCGCCGACATTTACTCCGCAAAACGCGACAATTGCTCCGCGACTTTTGCTCCGCGACATTTGCTTGCCAGAGGCCTAATAATATGATATTCACAATGTTTAATTAATACGTTCATTTCAATATTTCAATAAGATAACGCAATGTGATTAATGCCAATAGCGGATGCATATGACTTGTCCAAGTACACTGAGACGAATAAATTCCTTGCCACTTCCTATAGCTTAATTCAAAGGACATGGGAAGTATTTGATGAGCCCTTTAAAAAAAAATATATATATATATATATACATATATTATGTTAGATGAAAAGTAATTTGATACTATTAATGCTAAGCTGCTGAGCAATGTTTCCAATCTCAAGTGAAATATTAATCAAATGATAAATAGAAAATCATGAAGATACCATTCTGGGACGTCAATTTAACAAAGGTAACCTTCTCCTCACACGTATAAAACGTACGAGGACTGTGTGTATATTCATACTACAGTCCACAAACAAGCTGCATCTAGGTTAAATTATGAGCATTTAGGGTGGAAGGTTCTTAACCCCATTGACTTCTGAATTAATTCATACCAATAGGCTTAATACAGTAGCCACTCGGTTCCCGTAGGCAATGGGCTAGCACAGGGAAGCGTATGGCAGCTTTCTAGCAATCCTTGCATATATTAACACTTTAATTCACCGGGTAAACTAAGAAATGATCTCTTACATATTTGTTTTGATACAAGGAGAAAAACCTGTCAAAAATAATCATGTCTCTCAATATGCTATGGTCAATACGGCTAAAGGCTAAATCAAATTCTGAATAATATTTTATATTCTTACGTAATCTTAAAGAAAAGCGTCATATAAGAAATGCTCCAGAAATATATTTGATATTTCAGGGGAAATTTTAATTTCAATTTCATATTTATTGCCCAATGAAAATTGGTTTTACTTACATTTTACCTCTATCGCAAGTTACGAATTTATAAAAAATAAATACAGATATCATAGCAAATGTAGATTACTGTAACTACTTTTTTCGACCATTTTCCTGACAGGCTTTATAGACCTATATATTATTCATGGATTTTGACAATGTGGAATGCTTATCTCCGTATATTGTGATAAATTGCAATGCCAGAAACTAATAAAAACGGTCGCCAAGACGTCCAGGAAATCGACTGAGGACCCTTCCAATTTCATATGCATTGCCTTTAGAATCATGTTCACATTATGTAATACATCATTCTAATGTTTGAACAGGTGTCTCATTATAGAAAGTGATTGATTCTTGAAATTCTTTGCGATTGTGTTTTATCTGATATCATTATCCCGATCAGGGGTCTTTCCGACAACAACATTGGAGACATTGAGGTTGGAGTTTTTGATGGTCTGCAGAATTTATTTTTTTTGTGAGTAAAATATCTTTTTGCTTTTCTACGTGTTTACCGAATGCAATTAAATGGTTCATCTGACCACGTGACCATGCAAGAGACCTGTATATCGATTTAATAAATAATTTTTGAAACAAAAGTTTCTCTTTAAAAAATAAAAAGGGCTTGCCAGAGGCCTAAGTTTATGATATTCACAAAGGACCATTAATATGTTCATTTCGATATTCCAATAAGGTAACGCATTTTAATTAAAACCAATAGCGGATATGTATGATATTTCTAAGTACTCTGAGACGAATAAATTCCTTGCAACTTCCTATAACTTAATTTAAAGGACATGTTAATTTTTGGGTAAGCCTTTAACAAATTTATAAAAAATAAAAAAATTATTTGATGTTAGATGACGAAAAATACGATACTATTATTAATGCTAAGCTGTTGTGCAATGTTTCCAATCTCAAGTGAAATACTAAACACATGAAAAAGCAAAAACCGTGAAGATACAATCCTGGGACGCAACTTTAACGAAAGTAACCTTCTCTTCACACGTGTAAAACGTACGATGACTGTGTGTATATTCATACTACAGTCAACAAACAAGCTGCATCTAGGTTAAATTATGAGCATTTGGGCTGGAAGGGTCTTAACCCTATTGACTACTGAATTCATTCATACCAATAGGCTTAATACAGTAGCCACCCGGTTCCCGTAGGCAGTGGGCTAGCACAGGGAAGCATATGGCAGCTTTCTAGCAATCCTTGCAGATATTAACACTTTAATTCACCGGGTAAACTAAGAAATGATCTCTTACATATTTGTTTTGATACGAGGAGAAAAACCTGTCAAAAATAATCATGTCTCTTAATATGCTATGATCAATACGGCTAAAGGCTAAATCAAATTCTGAATAACATTTTATATTCTTACGTAATCTTAAAGAAAATCGTCATAGAAGAAATGCTCCAGAAAAATATTTGATATTTCAGGGGAAATTTTAATTTCAATTTCAATTTCATATTTATTGCCCAATGAAAATTGGTTTTACTAACATTTTACATTTATCGCAAGTTACGAATTAAAAAAAAAAATACAGATATCATAGCAAATGTTGATTACTGTAACTACTTTTTTCGATCATTTTCCTGACAGGCTTTATAGACCTATATATTATTCATGGATTTAGACAATGTGAAATGCTTATCTCCGTATATTGTGATAAATTGCAATGCCAGAAACTAATACAAACGGTCGCCAAGACGTCCAGGAAATCGACTGAGGACCCTTCCAATTTCATACGCATTGCCTTTAGAATCATGTTCACATTATGTAATACATCATTCTAATGTTTGAACAGGTGTCTCATTATAGAAATTGATTGATTCTTGAAATTCTTTGCGATTGTGTTTTATCTGATATCATTATCCCGATCAGGGGTCTTTCCGACAACAACATTGGAGACATTGAGGTTGGAGTTTTTGATGGTCTGCAGAATTTATACTATTTGTGAGTTAAATTTCTTTTTGCTTTTCTACGTGTTTACCGAATGCAATTAAATGGTTCATCTGACCACGTGACCATGCAAGAGACCTGTATATCGATTTAATAAATAATTTTTGAAACAAAAGTTTCTCTTTAAAAAATAAAAAGGGCTTGCCAGAGGCCTAAGTTTATGATATTCACAAAGGACCATTAATATGTTCATTTCGATATTCCAATAAGGTAACGCATTTTAATTGAAACCAATAGCGGATATGTATGATATTTCTAAGTACTCTGAGACGAATAAATTCCTTGCAACTTCCTATAACTTAATTTAAAGGACATGTTAATTTTTGGGTAAGCCTTTAACAAATTTATAAAAATTAAAAAAATTATTTGATGTTAGATGACGAAAAATACGATACTATTATTAATGCTAAGCTGTTGTGCAATGTTTCCAATCTCAAGTGAAATACTAAACACATGAAAAAGCAAAAACCGTGAAGATACAATCCTGGGACGTAACTTTAACGAAAGTAACCTTCTCTTCACACGTGTAAAACGTACGATGACTGTGTGTATATTCATACTACAGTCTTGAAACAAGCTGCATCTAGGTTAAATTATGAGCATTTGGGCTGGAAGGGTCTTAACCCTATTTACTACTGAATTCATTCATACCTATAGGCTTAATACAGTAGCCACCCGGTTCCCGTAGGCAGTGGGCTAGCACAGGGAAGCATATGGCAGCTTTCTAGCAATCCTTGCAGATATTAACACTATAATTCACCGGGTAAACTAAGAAATGATCTCTTACATATTTGTTTTGATACGAGGAGAAAAACCTGTCAAAAATAATCATGTCTCTTAATATGCTATGATCAATACGGCTAAAGGCTAAATCAAATTCTGAATAATGTTTTATATTCTTACGTAATCTTAAAGAAAATCGTCATAGAAGAAATGCTCCAGAAAAATATTTGATATTTCAGGGGAAATTTTAATTTCAATTTCAATTTCATATTTATTGCCCAATGAAAATTGGTTTTACTTACATTTTACCTCTATCGCAAGTTACGAATTTATAAAAAATAAATACAGATATCATAGCAAATGTAGATTACTGTAACTACTTTTTTCGACCATTTTCCTGACAGGCTTTATAGACCTATATATTATTCATGGATTTTGACAATGTGGAATGCTTATCTCCGTATATTGTGATAAATTGCAATGCCAGAAACTAATAAAAACGGTCGCCAAGACGTCCAGGAAATCGACTGAGGACCCTTCCAATTTCATATGCATTGCCTTTAGAATCATGTTCACATTATGTAATACATCATTCTAATGTTTGAACAGGTGTCTCATTATAGAAAGTGATTGATTCTTGAAATTCTTTGCGATTGTGTTTTATCTGATATCATTATCCCGATCAGAAATCTTTCCGACAACAACATTGGAGACATTGAGGTTGGAGTTTTTGATGGTCTGCAGAATTTATTTTTTTTGTGAGTAAAATTTCTTTTTGCTTTTATACGTGTTTACCGAATGCAACTAAATGGTTCATCTGACCACGTGACCATGCAAGAGACCTGTATATCGATTTAATAAATAATTTTTGAAACAAAAGTTTCTCTTTAAAAAATAAAAAGGGCTTGCCAGAGGCCTAAGTTTATGATATTCACAAAGGACCATTAATATGTTCATTTCGATATTCCAATAAGGTAACGCATTTTAATTGAAACCAATAGCGGATATGTATGATATTTCTAAGTACTCTGAGACGAATAAATTCCTTGCAACTTCCTATAACTTAATTTAAAGGACATGTTAATTTTTGGGTAAGCCTTTAACAAATTTATAAAAAATAAAAAAATTTTTGATGTTAGATGACGAAAAATACGATACTATTATTAATGCTAAGCTGTTGTGCAATGTTTCCAATCTCAAGTGAAATACTAAACACATGAAAAAGCAAAAACCGTGAAGATACAATCCTGGGACGTAACTTTACCGAAAGTAACCTTCTCTTCACACGTGTAAAACGTACGATGACTGTGTGTATATTCATACTACAGTCCACAAACAAGCTGCATCTAGGTTAAATTATGAGCATTTGGGCTGGAAGGGTCTTAACCCTATTTACTACTGAATTCATTCATACCTATAGGCTTAATACAGTAGCCACCCGGTTCCCGTAGGCAGTGGGCTAGCACAGGGAAGCATATGGCAGCTTTCTAGCAATCCTTGCAGATATTAACACTATAATTCACCGGGTAAACTAAGAAATGATCTCTTACATATTTGTTTTGATACGAGGAGAAAAACCTGTCAAAAATAATCATGTCTCTTAATATGCTATGATCAATACGGCTAAAGGCTAAATCAAATTCTGAATAATGTTTTATATTCTTACGTAATCTTAAAGAAAATCGTCATAGAAGAAATGCTCCAGAAAAATATTTGATATTTCAGGGGAAATTTTAATTTCAATTTCAATTTCATATTTATTGCCCAATGAAAATTGGTTTTACTTAAATTTTACCTCTATCGCAAGTTACGAATTTATAAAAAAATAAATACAGATATCATAGCAAATGTAGATTACTGTAACTACTTTTTTCGACCATTTTCCTGACAGGCTTTATAGACCTATATATTATTCATGGATTTTGACAATGTGGAATGCTTATCTCCGTATATTGTGATAAATTGCAATGCCAGAAACTAATAAAAACGGTCGCCAAGACGTCCAGGAAATCGACTGAGGACCCTTCCAATTTCATATGCATTGCCTTTAGAATCATGTTCACATTATGTAATACATCATTCTAATGTTTGAACAGGTGTCTCATTATAGAAAGTGATTGATTCTTGAAATTCTTTGCGATTGTGTTTTATCTGATATCATTATCCCGATCAGGTATCTTTCCGACAACAACATTGGAGACATTGAGGTTGGAGTTTTTGATGGTCTGCAGAATTTAAACCTTTTGTGAGTAAAATTTCTTTTTGCTTTTCTACGTGTTTACCGAATGCAATTAAATGGTTCATCTGACCACGTGACCATGCAAGAGACCTGTATATCGATTTAATAAATAATTTTTGAAACAAAAGTTTCTCTTTAAAAAATAAAAAGGGCTTGCCAGAGGCCTAAGTTTATGATATTCACAAAGGACCATTAATATGTTCATTTCGATATTCCAATAAGGTAACGCATTTTAATTGAAACCAATAGCGGATATGTATGATATTTCTAAGTACTCTGAGACGAATAAATTCCTTGCAACTTCCTATAACTTAATTTAAAGGACATGTTAATTTTTGGGTAAGCCTTTAACAAATTTATAAAAAATAAAAAAATTATTTGATGTTAGATGACGAAAAATACGATACTATTATTAATGCTAAGCTGTTGTGCAATGTTTCCAATCTCAAGTGAAATACTAAACACATGAAAAAGCAAAAACCGTGAAGATACAATCCTGGGACGTAACTTTAACGAAAGTAACCTTCTCTTCACACGTGTAAAACGTACGATGACTGTGTGTATATTCATACTACAGTCCACAAACAAGCTGCATCTAGGTTAAATTATGAGCATTTGGGCTGGAAGGGTCTTAACCCTATTGACTACTGAATTCATTCATACCAATAGGCTTAATACAGTAGCCATCCGGTTCCCGTAGGCAGTGGGCTAGCACAGGGAAGCATATGGCAGCTTTCTAGCAATCCTTGCAGATATTAACACTATAATTCACCGGGTAAACTAAGAAATGATCTCTTACATATTTGTTTTGATACGAGGAGAAAAACCTGTCAAAAATAATCATGTCTCTTAATATGCTATGATCAATACGGCTAAAGGCTAAATCAAATTCTGAATAACATTTTATATTCTTACGTAATCTTAAAGAAAATCGTCATAGAAGAAATGCTCCAGAAAAATATTTGATATTTCAGGGGAAATTTTAATTTCAATTTCAATTTCATATTTATTGCCCAATGAAAATTGGTTTTACTAACATTTTACATTTATCGCAAGTTACGAATTAAAAAAAAAAATACAGATATCATAGCAAATGTTGATTACTGTAACTACTTTTTTCGATCATTTTCCTGACAGGCTTTATAGACCTATATATTATTCATGGATTTAGACAATGTGAAATGCTTATCTCCGTATATTGTGATAAATTGCAATGCCAGAAACTAATACAAACGGTCGCCAAGACGTCCAGGAAATCGACTGAGGACCCTTCCAATTTCATACGCATTGCCTTTAGAATCATGTTCACATTATGTAATACATCATTCTAATGTTTGAACAGGTGTCTCATTATAGAAATTGATTGATTCTTGAAATTCTTTGCGATTGTGTTTTATCTGATATCATTATCCCGATCAGGGGTCTTTCCGACAACAACATTGGAGACATTGAGGTTGGAGTTTTTGATGGTCTGCAGAATTTATACTATTTGTGAGTTAAATTTCTTTTTGCTTTTCTACGTGTTTACCGAATGCAATTAAATGGTTCATCTGACCACGTGACCATGCAAGAGACCTGTATATCGATTTAATAAATAATTTTTGAAACAAAAGTTTCTCTTTAAAAAATAAAAAGGGCTTGCCAGAGGCCTAAGTTTATGATATTCACAAAGGACCATTAATATGTTCATTTCGATATTCCAATAAGGTAACGCATTTTAATTGAAACCAATAGCGGATATGTATGATATTTCTAAGTACTCTGAGACGAATAAATTCCTTGCAACTTCCTATAACTTAATTTAAAGGACATGTTAATTTTTGGGTAAGCCTTTAACAAATTTATAAAAATTAAAAAAATTATTTGATGTTAGATGACGAAAAATACGATACTATTATTAATGCTAAGCTGTTGTGCAATGTTTCCAATCTCAAGTGAAATACTAAACACATGAAAAAGCAAAAACCGTGAAGATACAATCCTGGGACGTAACTTTAACGAAAGTAACCTTCTCTTCACACGTGTAAAACGTACGATGACTGTGTGTATATTCATACTACAGTCTTGAAACAAGCTGCATCTAGGTTAAATTATGAGCATTTGGGCTGGAAGGGTCTTAACCCTATTTACTACTGAATTCATTCATACCTATAGGCTTAATACAGTAGCCACCCGGTTCCCGTAGGCAGTGGGCTAGCACAGGGAAGCATATGGCAGCTTTCTAGCAATCCTTGCAGATATTAACACTATAATTCACCGGGTAAACTAAGAAATGATCTCTTACATATTTGTTTTGATACGAGGAGAAAAACCTGTCAAAAATAATCATGTCTCTTAATATGCTATGATCAATACGGCTAAAGGCTAAATCAAATTCTGAATAATGTTTTATATTCTTACGTAATCTTAAAGAAAATCGTCATAGAAGAAATGCTCCAGAAAAATATTTGATATTTCAGGGGAAATTTTAATTTCAATTTCAATTTCATATTTATTGCCCAATGAAAATTGGTTTTACTAACATTTTACATTTATCGCAAGTTACGAATTAAAAAAAAAAAAATACAGATATCATAGCAAATGTTGATTACTGTAACTACTTTTTTCGATCATTTTCCTGACAGGCTTTATAGACCTATATATTATTCATGGATTTAGACAATGTGAAATGCTTATCTCCGTATATTGTGATAAATTGCAATGCCAGAAACTAATACAAACGGTCGCCAAGACGTCCAGGAAATCGACTGAGGACCCTTCCAATTTCATACGCATTGCCTTTAGAATCATGTTCACATTATGTAATACATCATTCTAATGTTTGAACAGGTGTCTCATTATAGAAATTGATTGATTCTTGAAATTCTTTGCAATTGTGTTTTATCTGATATCATTATCCCGATCAGGGATCTTTCCTACAACAACATTGGAGACATTGAGGTTGGAGTTTTTGATGGTCTGCAGAATTTAAACTATTTGTGAGTAAAATATCTTTTTGCTTTTCTACGTGTTTACCGAATGCAATTAAATGGTTCATCTGACCACGTGACCATGCAAGAGACCTGTATATCGATTTAATAAATAATTTTTGAAACAAAAGTTTCTCTTTAAAAAATAAAAAGGGCTTGCCAGAGGCCTAAGTTTATGATATTCACAAAGGACCATTAATATGTTCATTTCGATATTCCAATAAGGTAACGCATTTTAATTGAAACCAATAGCGGATATGTATGATATTTCTAAGTACTCTGAGACGAATAAATTCCTTGCAACTTCCTATAACTTAATTTAAAGGACATGTTAATTTTTGGGTAAGCCTTTAACAAATTTATAAAAAATAAAAAAATTATTTGATGTTAGATGACGAAAAATACGATACTATTATTAATGCTAAGCTGTTGTGCAATGTTTCCAATCTCAAGTGAAATACTAAACACATGAAAAAGCAAAAACCGTGAAGATACAATCCTGGGACGTAACTTTAACGAAAGTAACCTTCTCTTCACACGTGTAAAACGTACGATGACTGTGTGTATATTCATACTACAGTCCACAAACAAGCTGCATCTAGGTTAAATTATGAGCATTTGGGCTGGAAGGGTCTTAACCCTATTTACTACTGAATTCATTCATACCTATAGGCTTAATACAGTAGCCACCCGGTTCCCGTAGGCAGTGGGCTAGCACAGGGAAGCATATGGCAGCTTTCTAGCAATCCTTGCAGATATTAACACTATAATTCACCGGGTAAACTAAGAAATGATCTCTTACATATTTGTTTTGATACGAGGAGAAAAACCTGTCATAAATAATCATGTCTCTTAATATGCTATGATCAATACGGCTAAAGGCTAAATCAAATTCTGAATAATATTTTATATTCTTACGTAGTCTTAAAGAAAATCGTCATAGAAGAAATGCTCCAGAAAAATATTTGATATTTCAGGGGAAATTTTAATTTCAATTTCAATTTCATATTTATTGCCCAATGAAAATTGGTTTTACTAACATTTTACATTTATCGCAAGTTACGAATTAAAAAAAAAAAATACAGATATCATAGCAAATGTTGATTACTGTAACTACTTTTTTCGATCATTTTCCTGACAGGCCTTATAGACCTATATATTATTCATGGATTTAGACAATGTGGAATGCTTATCTCCGTATATTGTGATAAATTGCAGTACCAGAAACTAATACAAACGGTCGCCAAGACGTCCAGGAAATCGACTGAGGACCCTTCCAATTTCATACGCATTGCCTTTAGAATCATGTTCACATTATGTAATACATCATTCTAATGTTTGAACAGGTGTCTCATTATAGAAATTGATTGATTCTTGAAATTCTTTGCGATTGTGTTTTATCTGATATCATTATCCCGATCAGGTATCTTTCCGACAACAACATTGGAGACATTGAGGTTGGAGTTTTTGATGGTCTGCAGAATTTAAACTATTTGTGAGTAAAATTTCTTTTTGCTTTTCTACGTGTTTACCGAATGCAATTCTTTTAATGGTTCATTTGACCACGTGACCATGCAAAAGACCTGCATATCGATTTAATAACAACTTTATACAACAAAAGTTTCTCCTGAAAACTAAACAAAAAAGGGCTTGCCAGAGGTCTCCTCGACACAGCATTCATTGATGTATGCAAAGATGATTCCATTTTTGAAATACATTTTGATCACAGAAACAAAACAGAATTACACTATGCGTTGGAGACTGATTTTTTTAAATCTTTGTCAAATGTTGTCAAGTAATGCGTTTCTAAATTGCTCCCATCTATTATAATTATGTTAATAGTTCAATATTCATGGCTTTGTTCGAAGTTGAAGTGATTTGATGTCATAGGTAATTCAACTTGACTTACATTCCGTTTATTCTACTCTGACTAAAATTCATCCTGCTTAACCTTTTTTTACGACCATTCAATTTTAAATCAAAAATTATACCTTAGTCACGCCGGCAAGGCCGACACCAGGCTGACTACAGACCGAACATACTTTTACCTTACCCCCGATGGCAAAATAATTGGTCGGTTTAAAGCCTTGGGATGTCGGCTTAGCCTTGTGATTTAGGGAAGATGAACCAGACAATTTGTGTACGCATCATCGCAAATCATTAATCCTAAATAATTGATGATATTTCAATATATTGTTTATTGTTGTGTTATCATTATAATCGGGGAGTTCATTTCAAACGACATCAGCTAGATTCAAGTGGCAGCATTTTCACCTCTGGAGACCCTTCTGATATTGTAAATTGCAATTCATTCAAACATTTTAACCATTTTACAGCCTATTACTTCTCTTGTACATGCATGCATGTTAAAACTGATTAAGAGAATTATGATATATTTACAAAGTTCCATTAATACGTACATTCCGATATTTCAATAAGGGAACGGAATGTAATTGAAACCAATAGCGGATATGTATGATATTTCTAAGTACACTGAGACGAATGATTTTTGTTGTTAATGTTAGATGACGAATAATAAGATACTAGCAATGCTAAGCTGCTGTGCAATGTTTCCAATCTTAGATGAAATATTAAACAAATAGAAAATCATTAAGATGCCATCCTGGGACGTCAATTTAACAAAGGTAATCTTTATTAAACACGTGTTAAACGTACGATGACTGTGTGTAGTACAGTCCACAAACAAGCTGCATCTAGGTTAAATGATGAGCATTTGGAAAGAAAGTGTCCTACCATAGGGGAGCGTATATCACCTGTCTAGCAATCCTTGCAGATATTTACATATTAATTCATCGGATAGAATACGAAATGATCTCGTACATATATATTTCTTTTGATATAATGAAAAAATCTTGTCACAAATATATCTGTCAATATGCTATGGTCGATAACTTCAAGAAAGTTTTATATCCTCCCAATAAACAAAATCACGTGAAAATCACGTCAATATCAAGGTATCGACTTGAGGAGAGTTACGTTCTTCAAACACCGGACATTTACGTAAATGTGTTAATACGTTTTTTGCATTAGGTAACTTAAAACACACGTACACTAAATCACGCAATTGTCACTGCAATATCACCATTATAATAACGTGATTATCCCTACCTTGGAGACCATGGTTTGTAAACCTAATACTCCCGTGTTTGTTTGGTTATGAAATTACATCTTCATACACGAATTTATCGTGTCACAGAAACACGTGAAGCGTTAGTGATAGTTTTAGTCAAAATATCTGCGTGAAATTCACGTGAATATTACGAGGCTGACTTGGGATGAATCATGTTCTTCATTCACGTGAAATTTACGTCGAAGAGGAAGTATGTTACTGTAACCCGCGTTCAACCCAATAATTACGCAAATGTTACACAATAAATGAACCAAAATAATGACGTTCTCATCCCGTTTCTGAACATCGTGTCTTGGATCTTCCATAATTACGTCAAGGCGCGCCGGAAGCAGTTTGGGATTAGAGGGGGTTGGGTGGAGGGGGGGGGGTGGGGGGTTGCAAACATCCCAGAAGAGAAAGCTAGTTGCAACTGGTCCAGTTGATGAACCATTTAATGCCAACTGGTAACCCTGGAAATTGAAATGGGCTAAATGATCCAGTTGATCCAGGCCAGTTATAATTCAACTGGTCTAGCTGAGCCATTAGAACCATTTGGTAAAACTTCCAACCAGTTGAACAGCAACAATACTTCAATACTGGTACGTCTGTATTTCCAATGTAAGGGCATTGGTAATAAGTAGACTTACATAATTGAATTAATGGAGAAAAAAACTCGTATACTTGTACTTTATTGAAATTATTTTAGTTCACAGTTAATGTTTCCCTTATTCATGTTTAACTATTTATACGAAGTAGCGAAATGTCCTAATAACTGGTAATTTATATTTGTAGTATTTTCGAAATGAATTGCATATAACTAAATCATCAGTAATTAAGAAATATGCTGTAAATTCAGATAAATTGTTTAAAAAACATAGATCTGCACGCACCCTATATTCAATATGCAAATGAATTGGTGTCAGCTGGGTCAACTCAAAATATGCCAACGCTCAGTCATCAACTGGTGCAACTGGAAATATGCACACTCCAGTTATCAACTGGTGCAATGAAAATATGCCAACAGTCAGTTATCAACTTGTGAACAAAGAAATATGCCAACAGTCACGGGATTATCACCACGGAACTTAAATGGTAACTGTGAAACCATCAAGACACCCAAGAATAACTCATTTTCACACATGGAAAACACGGAATACCCAGCTTATATTAATAATCCGTTTGAGTCACGCGATCATCACCGCGGAACTGCTGGCAACTTTGACTACGATTTAAATAGGTGTTTTAAGACACCCAATCATGACTTATTTTTCACACCTAAAAGTCACGTATGCCCAGCTTATATTAATAATCCGTTTGAGTCACGAGATCATCTCCGCGGAACTTATGGCAACTTTGACTTCCATTTAAATAGGTGTTTTAATACACCTAATAATGACTAATTTTTCACACCTAAATATCACGGATTCACAGCTTAGATTAGTAATCAGTTTTAACTACGTGATCATCACCAAGAAAGTTATGGTAACTTTGAAACCATTTAAATAGGTGTTTTAAGACACCTAATAATGACTAATTTTTCACACCTAAAAGTCACGTATGACAAGCTTTAGATCAATAATCCGTTTGAGTCACGAGATCATCACCGCGGAACTTATGGCAACTGTGACTACCATTTAAAAAGGTGTTTTAAAACACTTAATAATACTAATTTTCACACCTACATATCACGTTTTCACAGCTTAGATTAGTAATCAGCTTGAGCCACGTGATCATAACCAAGAAATTTATGGTAACTTTGAAACCTTTTAAAGAGGTGTGTAAGACACCTCAGAATTACTAGTTGAATATAACCAGAGATTCACGGACAGAACAATAAGACGATTAGCCGGTGTAAGTAACGTGATTATTACCATCAACCTTGGATAACCTGTGAAACCAATCAATAAAGGTGCTTACAAGACCAAATAATTACGTATTTATCGCCACCATCGGTTAACTGACAAAAAACTCGTTGCTTGGTCAAGTGGTTATTTGGTCATAAACACTTGATTTACAGAGGTAAGTGGAATCACGTTGCTCCAGTCGCGTGATAAACTGGTGGTTTTTAGGTTAGATGAAAACGTGAACAGGAGTACCTTTTTGTTTAAATGAAGGCACGTGTCGATAACGTTTAAATCTAGTTCAAAAGGCACTATACTTTAAAATCACTTAAAATACACTCCCAAAAGAGGTTACTTTTTGGTGTTCTGTTTATTGGGCTAAATAGATACAAGTTTTCCAGATACTGAAGCGAGTTAATGTTTCACATGTTCCGACTTTAAACTGCATTACGCCTTAACATCGCATATTCTTGTGTTTCCCAGAAATTTGTCACCGAATTCCATTCAGCAATTAAGGCGTGGGGTATTTTCTGGACTCCGTTCTCTTGAATTTCTGTAAGTGCAACACAATTCGGGGGAAAGTCTAAGCCATTGCCCCCCCCCCCCCCGTGTCGCAAACCATTTTTAAGATGTTAGTATATAACTAATCAAATTCAGTTCAATTCAAATGTTATTGATTAAAATCCAAACAAATAGAATCATTCTCATTCTCAATAAAATGATTTTTCTTCTTTTATTTTATTTTCAAATAAAAAGGAATAAAGAAAGACAAAATTACAACATGATAGTAAAACAATATGTATAAATATGTTTTATGTTTACATACTCCTCCCAACGAGGTGACCGAGACAATGTGATCCTATTCCAAATACAACCTCGTGGGAGACAGTGAGCATGGGATGACAATTAATAATACTTTTTTTACAATACTAAATTTTAACGAGATTAATAATATGGTGAAAACAAAAACAACAAAAGCAAACAACAACAAAACAACAAAATAATTAGGGATCTACTAATCTCGTATATGGTCGTATCTCTATCCTTATAATAGACTTAATATTGCAAAGTCAAAATATATTAACAGTATAAAGATTAATAGCAATGTAAATGGAAAAGGTAAAACATTACAAGGTCAATTAACAGCAACACTTCAACTTTATATAGATTTTTGTTGTTGTTAAAGGGGGAGGGTAGGGGGATTTTACGTGTTCTTTATGTAGATTTATTATTTTTTAGTAGTTCTATTCATTTTTCATACAGTTCGCTTATTCAAAATATTATTATTGCGTTTATGTCAGTTTCTTAATTGGACATCATTAGTTAAAATTTCTCAAGTAGACTCCAAGATTATATTAGTATTACGCTGTGTTGACCGATTGAGCTAACATGGGTTGATGAAAAGTTGATTTGTATAATTAGTATGCAGATCGTATAGTCAATCGATCAAAGGTCGGGTGGCATCCCAATATAAGTTAATTTGTGTTGATATGCAGGGCTGCATACAATTCATATTTGTTTATTCAAACATCTAAATATTTCTTACATTTTTAAATATTTGCTAAAGTTATTTTCTCAGACCTGCTAAGCTCCACTTGTTAGAAAATGCTCGATATCTCATTCATCTTGTGAAATCATTTTTCAATCATTAGTAAGCTAACAAGAGACAGTGGTATGAAGCTTCACCAGAGCTGACCACTTGTTTACAATAGACTATAAAATACCAAAATAGGAGTTGCTGTAGCATCAACAGGAAAAGAAAGGTTATGTGGAGGTATTGTATGAAAGAATGCAATTCTTTTGTGAATATGTGCTGAGCTAGGGGAAGTTACATACCACTGCCTCTTGTAAGCTCACTTATGATTGACAGATGATGTCACAAGATGAATAAGATCTGGAGCATTTTTTAAGGGTGGAGCAAAGCAGGTCTTAAAAAAAATTGCTTTAAAAAGTTTTGTTTAAATCTATGAAATATATTAAGATGTTTGAAGAAGAAAAAAAAGGGAGTTGTAAACAGCCCTGCACATCAACTTATATTTGGATGTCACCCGACATTTAAGATATCCACTCCCTAAGATGTTCGCTTTTTCCTTTCTTTTCTACAGGGATTTGACGAACAACAATATTCAGAGTATCGAAGGATTTACGTTTGAATCACTGGCGTCTCTCAAATATCTGTATGTAATTTCAATATCATTTACTTTGCTTGATGTTTACATCCGTGGACAAGGGATTTTAGCAATATTTACCCAGGCGTATGAAACGAGCACCAGACAGTATTTGGATAGTAATAAATTACGATCCATTATGAGGAGCAGTATTAATACCGATCGCAACTAAAATATAGGCTCTACTACCACATTACAGTTGGAGGTGCCTTGGTTTAGTTGCTCAATCACTTGACTCTCAATCCAGTGATTGAGAGTGCGAATCTCAGCTCAAGTCTAATGTACATTGGCGAGACATTAATCCACGTTTGCCACACTCCATCCAGATATAAATGGTTACCTGGCAATCGATGGGGTTAAAATTAATACAGGGCCTTCAGGGTGGACATTATCGTTCCTGATGTTTCTCCCATGGGTAAACAAAATTATTCGCAGTAGAAGTAGTGGTATTAGTAGTACACTGTAACAAAATCAGCGTCTGTTTACTAACATGTTTTTGTTCCAAAAATCCAAACAGATGCACTAACACACACATGTTAAGGTGTTGGTATTCAACCACTTAAAACGCAGGTAAATTAGCACTTATTGTTAAACAATGAGTTTATCCGCTTGTTAGCAAACAGTTATGTCTTTTACCGTTAGATAATGCATAGTTTATCCGTTGTGAAATTGGTCAATATAAGTAAGCGTTTGTAGATACGCTGCTGCTAGCAGTTTACAAGCACTATTTTCAGAAAAAAAATTGGTTGAATCTGGTTGAAGTTGGTTGAAACTCTAAAATTTACTGTGTAGAAGTATGCAAATTATGCCCTATTACAAGTTCTTGTTTTATTCTCTCTGGAACCAGGTTCTTCCATGATTCTGAATTGGTAGCTATCGATCGTAACGCACTTGCTGGTCTCACATCAATAGAAAAAATGTAAGGAAACTTTCTGATTTCAGTTCTTATTGTTGTTATTTGCTTTCCTTCCTTTCTGGAGCTGATGACTACAACCCGATGACATTTGCATCGGGTAAACCGAAATGCAAAAAGTCTAAATATATAAATTAAAAGAAATATTTTGCCTCACAACTCTAACTATCGTTGCTATGCTTCATGTGAATGGTCATTGTAGCGAGGTATACAATCATTTATTTGAATTAGACATCAATTAGATCTCTGAAACGCTAAGCATAGGTGACGTAGGACTTAGGGTACGTTTATGCTTAGTTTTGAAGGCAGAATGAGCGATTTGAAACGCTCATCGTAAACGCTCATCGTAATCGCAGTTTCTATGGTGTACTGTTTATGCTTACTTCTCTGGCTCCTCTAGGCAATTCTGGCTGGGTGGCCTTGCAGCTTGATTCGCAAACCTGCAATGCGCATGCTACGTCGACCCACTTGAGGTCAGTGCGTTGAACCCATTTAAACGCGTTTACAAATGATTGTGCGTTTATGCTTCCCCAGAATCGCCGATCGTAAACGCACCTTTTTGTGAGTTTACGATCGGTGATTACGATCGCAGTTTTTTTTTCGGTGATTCTACAAAAATGAGAAAGGACGCAACCGTGTTTTGAACTAAACGCGTAACAGATGCCTCATTCTGGCCAGAAAAAGCTGAGCATAAACGTACCCTTAATTATGTACATTTCATTTCCAATCACAGAAAATAATAAGGGACTCTGCGTTAGGAGTCTGCAATATGTAATCAAGACAACTCAGGTGAACTTCTAGAATATTAATGGAAGCGGGGGGGGGGGGGGGGTTTGTGGTTCGTGCGTTCTTTTTCTACAAGTGCTTCGCTAAAATCCTTTTATAATCTTCAGGGGAGGAACTTGAGCCCCCAGGCCCCTTCTACCACTATTTTACTACCCTTTTCTCTTATCATCCAGGTCTACATCTGATAATCGTCTGTGTTGTCTTCTAAAGGACAACGTGAACGTCACCTGCGCTAGGACATCACCGACGGGTCCATTGGAAACCTGTAGCAGGCTCTTTCCGAACTTGGCCTTGAGGATTGCAGGATGGTTCATGGGGTTGTTGGCTTTGGGCGGTAACGGGGTCGTTCTCTTTGTTCGGCTACGGGATAGGAAGGAGCACACATCTAAGGTTCAGAACACCATGATTGGTAGCTTAGCAATGGCTGATATTCTGATGGGACTGTACATGATCATCATAACCTCTGCTGATGTTTACTACGGTGGTGAGTTCTATCTCAGTGCTCCTCAATGGCGGGATTCCCACATGTGTCGATTCGCAGGTTTCCTCGGGTTTCTCTCGAGTGAGGCATCGGTTTTTACCTTGACCTTGATCACCGTTGATAGGTTCATTAGCATCGTGTTCCCCTTCGGGAAGCTTAAGATTCAACACAAGGGTTCCTTGATTCTCGTCGGGTTAGCCTGGTCATTTACCATAGTGTTAAGTCTAGGTCTTGTGATTGTTACATCCTACATACCAGATATCTACGGACTTTCCGACGTGTGCCTTGGTCTCCCGCTCCATGTTGATCCACAGGACACAGGAATGCTGGTTATCAGCAGAGATTTGTCTAATGAGCTTCAAGTTATTTACGAGAACACTAACAAAAGTTTTAGACCTCCATGGTTATTCTCCATTATAATCTTCATCGGATTAAATTTGGTTTCCTTCGCTTTCATCTTGGTCTGTTACATCCTGATCTTCATCAAGGCCAGTCGGTCTTCCGCTAAAGTCCGCAACAGCCAATCTAATAAGCAAGAGACCAAATTGGCCTTTCGTATGGCACTGCTCGTTGCTACCGACTTCGCCTGTTGGATGCCAATAATCATCATGGGCATCCTTTCCCAAACTGGCGCCGTCACCCTCGATCCTTCCCTCTACGCCTGGACAGTAATCCTCATCGTCCCCATCAACTCATCCATCAATCCCTTCCTCTATACCTTCATCATGTACATCGATGACAGAAAGAAGAAGAAGAAGAGAAAGAGCAAAGACAACCAAGCGAACTTACCAGAAGTGCAAACCAACGCAGTGTAAATCAGCCTCCTGCCAACGGTTACCGACCGAAGATCCAATCTCTCGCGTGTAAGGTAGTGGAGTTTACCCATCACTTGACAATTGTTATTATTATTTGCTTATCTTTTAAAATATTGTTATTAACATGATGTCCAAACTTTGTATATTGATAAATACTATGTTTCCTACGAGGTGCTATTAAGCAAATATTAATCGACTACGAGGGTAATGGTGCAAACTATCATCGCCGAGGTGATCTCGGGGCTACTATCTTCCCGAGCCGCAAGGCGAGGGAAGATGGTAGCCCCGAGATCACCGAGGCGATGATAGTTTGTATCCATTGCCCGAGTAAAGGAGGTTAATATTTGTTTTATATCCCACATCGGCAATAAGGTCTATTTAAAGTGAATTTTACATAATAATAAGAACTGATTCTGCAAACAGTTTAGCTTCAGCTAGATTTTACAAAGCGCAACATGCATACATGAATACAGTCGATGCGCGCTCATTTGACATTGACATTGACTTTGACATTTCGCGTAACCTACTTTGCTATGCGTATTCAATGGGCAAGGGTGGGCAAGTGGGGTAGCAGCAAAAAATTACTTTACAATAAGTACTATCTCGACCTGAGATCAGTAGATAGTACTTGTCTATACCTTTTTCGTGCTCTGTACAATCGCAATGCAAACAACTATACATGAGGGATATAAATACATATATAATATTTGTTTTCGTTTTATAAGCGCTCAGATCAGTATTCTGTAAAAGCGCTTAATAAGAATAAATCATTATTGTTCCTAATAATAATCATGTACTGTTGGCAGAACACGCTCCTGATACTAAAAAACCCTATATCTGCAGAAAGATTTAAGATCTGGTGATGGAATCTACAGCCGACGGGGCTGGCCGTCTAATGGACCGTCAATTTCACACTCGTGGACCTCCTAACAAATCTTTGTTTAGGGTTCACCCCCCCCCCCCCTCCCACAACCCGTGATTAGAGGGATCGCATTCACGTTCCCCAAAGCTCCGGGAAAGGCGTACTTTTCGCGCAACAAAGTCCGGCTCGTAATACACGAAAAATCGGCCCGTAGTTGACTTTACACACCGGACTTAGGGGTGTTTTCAAAGGGAGGAAAAATGCATACGTGTACCCTAAATACCACTGAGTGGGGGGGGGGGCGGTTCACTTGACCGACGCCTCACAATGCCGAAAGCAATAATAACCGAAATTCTTTAAATATTTTTTTTGGGTACTTTTTTTGTTGGGGGGGGGGGGGAGTCTCTCTCGTTGCTGTCGGTCCCATGGATCTTTTAGCATCCTTTTTCTCTTGCTTTATATTTGTTTGATTTGTCGGTCTCGTTGGCTGTCAGTCTAGTGGGCTTTTAATCTCGTGAATCTTGTGTCAATGTTGGTCTCGTAGGATGTCGGTCTAATTGGATATGGATCTCGTGAATCTTGTGTCAATATTGGGTTTGTATTCTGTCGGTCTAATTGGCTATGGGTCTCGTGAATCTTGTGTCAATGTTGGTCTCGTTGGCTGTCAGTCTAATGGGCTATGGATCTCGTGAATCTTGTGTCAATGTTGGTCTCGTAGGCTGTCTGTCTAATGGGCTATGGATCTCGTGAATCTTGTGTCAATGTTGGTCTCGTTGGCTGTCAGTCTAATGGGCTATGGATCTCGTGAATCTTGTGTCAATGTTGGTCTCGTATGCTGTCGGTCTAATGGGTTTGGATCACGTGAATCTTGTGTCAATGTTGGTCTCGTAGGCTGTCTGTCTAGTTGGTTTTCGGTCTCCTAAATCTTGTGTCAATGTTGGTCTCGTAGACTGTCTGTCTAGTTGGTTTTCGGTCTCGTGAATCTTGTGTCAATGCTGGTCTCGTAGGCTGTCGGTCTAATGGGCTATGGATCTCATGAATCTGGTGTCAATGTTGGTCTCGTATTCTGTCGGTCTAATGGGCTTTGGATCACGTGAATCTTGTGTCAATATTGGTCTCGTATTCTGTCGGTCTAATGGGCTATGGATCTCGTGAATCTGTTGGTCTCGTGGGCTGTTGGTCATTTTTTTAGACAGTGGCTCAGCATTCAGTATTGAAAGTGGCTGATGGAACGATAAAGGTCTTTACTTCTCGATGTATATACAAATGAAAATGTTATCATTTCATGTGCCTTCCTAAATTCGCTAAGGGTGGAAACTATTTTCTCAGTCAATGGGGCGGCATGTGTAGGGGGTTTAACGGGGAGGGGGAGGGGGGGGGCACATTCTGAAACATAATGTGATGTTTTTAATAATGTTTTTATGTCATAGAAACCATATCAAATATATGTAAAGGTCAAACGGTTAAAGGGGTCTGTTGTCCTTAATATAAAACAAATTGAATCTATCGAGCTGCCGCAGCATTTAATTAAGAAAAAAGAGGGGAAAATATACAAACCTATAGAGTAAAACAAAATGTACTTCCATTTTACTCACAAGATTACATACAAGATGATAATTGACATTTATCTGAAATACAAGTGATTTGATGTATCGGTAAAAGAAGAAATTTTAAGTAATTCATTGTGTTGGTCTGTAGTTGATCGCAGCACCTTGTAAACCAATACGGCTGTTAGACAAAAATGTATCTTAATGTCCATAACTTGTTTCATTAAATGTGTATAATATAGAGGGTGATATATATTGTGTTCTGTTGTAAATACTCTTACACCGTGATATATAATAATAAATGATTATAAATGTTTTTAGCTATTGCTTGTCATGATGAAAAGTTCAAGACATGAAAATTATTCAAAACAATCATTTATATTTTATAGATTGTTATTATACATATACAAACATATTGTGTGGATAATGTGACATTATATCATCCATTTTTAATGAGCAGACTCGTGCAAATTATGTTAGTCCGAAGAAAAAAATAAAGACAAAAACAAAGCTCTGCTGTATCTTGCAAGAATCTAATTTAATGGATTGTAGGGTAGTTATGCTATTATTATCATTAGGTTACTATTGTTCTGAATTTTTTCTTTGTATTTTCTTAAACGAGTGCCCTGTGATGTATTATGGTTAAAATGCTATTAAAATCAGTATAAGATTTCGTGTTGATATTTTCTTATTGTCTCTCTCGATTCGCAAATATTTGTAGCATCCGTATTTCTAAGTAATATTATTTAGCCATTTCAATAGATCTTAATATAATTGTGTAGCATTTATATATTGCACAGGGGTACATTGCATGCATCTTTTAAAATGGTGTTGTAAATATCTAAATATTATGTTTTTTTATGAAATCACATCATAAACATGTACATCAATAGATATAGATATAGAACGCTATTCAGTTGATTCAACTTATAAGGCATTTGTATACGCAATTTGGAAATGTATAGGGGACTAGTTATATTATATTAAGATTTCGTGTTGATATTTTCTTATTGTCTCTCTCGATTCGCAAATATTTGTAGCATCCGTATTTCGAAGTAATATTATTTAGCCATTCCAATAGATCTTAATATAATTGTGTAGCATTTATATATTGCACAGGGGTACATTGCATGCATCTTTTAAAATGGTGTTGTAAATATCTAAATATTATGTTTTTTTATGAAATCACATCATAAACATGTACATCAATAGATATAGATATAGAACGCTATTCAGTTGATTCAACTTTTAAGGCATTTGTATACGCAATTTGGAAATGTATAGGGGACTAGTTATATTATAATTCTAATCAAGAGTATAATCTTCTATTTGTTTCATTACAGACCGTGTTCATTGTTAAAGTCGACGTATAGCGGCTGACTGACACAAATAGACAGCAATCTTATTTATTAACACGGTCTGTCTTATGTTTGGTATCGTGCCAGTACCGTAAATTATAATGGTAACATTAATCATGGCGGGATTTGTTTTTATTAAGCGAATAAATCGAATTTAGATTCTTTAGTAATTCATTAATGTGTCAGGTCTATCTTTTGTTTAAGTTATCCACTTCATTATGCAAAACAGTCACCAGTCACTGACTGATTGATTAGTCGATTGGTTTATTGTTGAATGATTGATTGATTGATTGATTGATTTATTGAATTGCAGTTGGTTTTCTTATTGATTGGTTGGTTGATTGATTTATTGAATTGCAGTTGATTTGCTTATTGATTGGTTGGTTGATTAAATGATTGATTGATTGAACTAATGATAAAATGAATGATTGATTGATGCATTGCTCGATAAGCCTTGATTGATTGATGGATGAATAGATTGATTGCTTGATTCATATTATTCGTCAAGTATAATGCATTTAAATCATGGCCAATATACAAGACAAAAATAAACTTGCAAAAGATGACACATGGAAAGCTAATATAATAAGCATAATTTACCTTTATTGTTTTTAAATATATCATACCGCCTCCAACCGCCCCATTGATGTACATAGGTCTATAAACAATGATACAATATATAAATAAATAAAAAGTATAAAGCGCGCAGTCATGTCATATATATGTTCGGCTATTAACCGAGGCCAGTCAATATATTATACTTATTGGCCTGCTTAGCAGAGCATCTAGACTAGTAACGTGGGTCCGTGATTCCGTGAGTAGCACTTAAGTTTAACCTGTAATATAGTCTAAGATTTTAAGTGTGCTTGCATGTGAATGGACAGAGAGAGAGAGAGAGAGCTGAGGAGACTCGGAGGAGGGGAGGAGGAGGAGGAGGAGGCGGAGAGAGAGAGAGAGATGGGGGGAGGTGAGCGTAAGAGCCGATAGGTAGGTCCATGGTAAGAGGGTCCATAATTACATTCAGCGATGTACACTATACATGTAGGCCTATATCTAGCTTCATTGCATGAATGAATGCATTCGATGCTGTTTCACGCACTAAGTCTAATATAGGCATTACGCGAGGTCTAACAGGGTATTTGAGTAATATGTTATCACGAGTATAAACCACTTTTGTGGGTGTCATTGGGTAATTTTTGGTGCCGAGTTCGAGCATGAATGTTGCTATAAAAGTTGCAAATTTTAACACTAATGAGGCATAATTATACACATATATACACAATTAACATATTGTTATTTTACATATCCTCCCATTCCAACTTTAATTAAACACAATGTGATGTCACATTATTACTTAATAAACAGCATGAATCAAAACTATTTTGGTTATTTTATGCAAATCTATGCAAATTTCTGTGAAAATGAATGTCCTGAAGAGTGTCATACAAAGCAATTTTCAATAAAACTGGATGAACTACGGTAAAAAAAAGTAACCATTAATGACAAGAACCATTAATTTTGCAATTTTTACATCTCCTAAATATTCAGGTCCTAATTATATGAAAATTTATGCTAAAAGGAAAATATTTATTAGAATAGTGAAATCG